TAATTTACTCTAATCCTGCCTAAAAGAATTTCAATTTGAGGATAGGCTGTTAGAAATCCTCATGAGTAATAAAACTGAATCAGTATTGCTGGTGCACAAAAATATAACTAATAAAAAGAAAAAAAAAGGTCTCAGATTAATTTACTCCAATCCTGCCTTAAAAAATGAACCTAAAAACACATACAAAGCAGACAGTGTCCTATGACTATCATAATATTTCTGGCTGTCTAATCATGCAATAAGAGCCATTAAAAATTCAGCCACTCTTCTCAAGTGAATATTGGGTCAAAGTTTCAAACTGGAAAAGAAATAAACAATTCTCTGTACTGAGAACAATGAAATATAACATGTCATTCAATACATTAAGACTTTGGTTTCCTACTGGTTGTAAATAATACAACATAAGAGAGAGAAGTATTGTGAAAGATGGGATGTGACAGGTGAGTGTGATTCTCTAATGGATGTTTATACTAATCTTTGATTTATTAACTACGTTTTGTTACCAAGTTTATTCCTGTACAATGATAACAAAGTGATTTAATGAAATTTTGAATGTAACTATAAAAAAATCATGACATACACACAATTTGACCTTCTCATAACGAGAGTGTTAAACCAGAAAAGGATCTTGATGTTCTGCTTCATCAGTCTCTTACGCCATACAAGAAGTATGTTGTTGTTAGTGGTACAGAAAAACAGGTTGTATTTACAGAAACGTATAATACCAGTCTAAATACGTTATAATTTGATTGTGTACATAATTGATTTGGCCATGTTTGAGTTTTGGGTTGTCTAAGATCCTTATCTTAGGATCAACATTGAATTGTTGAAAAGGGTTTGGTTGATATCTACGATGGAAAGGTTATACATGGGCAGGTTAAGATTTCTGAAATAGTTTTTCTTGAAAACAAAGATTTAGAGAGGAGCTGATTGAAGTGTTTAAGGTTGTTATGGAAACTGATCTTGTTTCAAACTTAACAATGTACTATCCTAGAGCAGAGAGGTGACTTACTGTCATGATAGATATTAATTATAATATTTTTCTTATGTTCCATGTATTTTTAACAAAAAGCAAGTACATAATGGTTACCTATCTGTAGGTGTAAGTGGACTATTTAAATTTTTTCTTTGCAATTCCAACACTCGATCACGATGCCTTTGTCTTCGTTCTGCTTCATCGTCATTTTCAGGAACACCAAAACTTGATGACTGTTGACTGGCCACATCTTCGGATGATCTACAACTAGATGATGCCCTCTCCTCTCCTGTGGGGGTTGCAAAATGACGGCCAAAACTTCTCCGGAGGAGAGGGGAAGGAAAGGAGTCATCTGCTGTGCCAGGTGGCATGAATGTATACTTCCTATCATAAATCAAACAAATTTTCTTATCTGCACAGTTCTAACATGATGATAAATAGGACAATACAGCTTAGTCATTTATTAAGTCTTATTCATGAGACAGTTTATATCGATAAAATAAAAAATTAGCCTAAACAGAGCTTGGTGATTAAGTTGGTTAGCTACATCCCCTTAAAATAATCAATCAAACAAAATCAGTGTTTCATTACGATTTTGTCATTATTTTTGATTAATTCAAGGTAGTTCAGCTTATTCAGTTAGGGCCATAATCACAAAAGTAATCAACTAATCAAAATTAGTGTTCCAAAGTTTTACTATTTTCAATAGTTTCAACTATCCAGGTTTTGTGTGAGACTAAGTGATTAATTAAATATAATCAATTAACAAGTCCAACAATTGATCATTTAACAAATTTTACTAACTGCTAAGCTCCACAAATAAATGACCTAATGGTTCCATAATAGATTAAACTGATTCTATGTATAGAATTAATATTTTCAGCTAACAAAAAATGTTAGTATCAGATGTATGACATTTTTAAAAACTGGTAGAGACTTTACAGGAAAAACATAAAATCATGTCCAGACAAAAATGATCACACAATTTTTATGTATACTACCAAACTATCTCTTGGTTTCTTTTTTTTATTTACTGTACTTTTTTCCCACAAAGATTGAAACTGACATACAGATGATCACATCTTTTCTCCTGTTTAATCATCTTCTGTTCTTCATCTTTTTTTTTATATAAAAAGTTTTTTTTCTAAATCCATAAACTATTCCAAACTAAGTATAATAACATCTTTTACAACTAAAGCAACCAAAATAATACAGGATGTGGCTCAGGATTATCTGATATACTTTATATTAAGTATAATGCATGTATTCTACGATAGATTGTTTGGACAGAGTTTTCACGATGAAACTGTGTTGAATGGACAGAAACTGCCTGTTGTAGAGACACAGGTGTAAAGGACGACGTTTTCGAAAGCCTTCCTCCTTAAGGTCAGCATGCGTGTGATGTAATTGGTCTTTATAGTATTCTTGTGGATTGTGTGTTATGATTGCTTGGTTTATCCCTGTTTCTGATTGGAGGAGAGATTTCCTGTATATTCAACCAATAGTAGCCATGGGTTACTCACCTCTAATCTGGAATATCTCTTTAGTGTAGATTTGTGTTTATATAAAAGTTTCACCATTATGCATGTAGTTTTAACATGTATAATGGGACATTCTTTACATAAAAGTATAATGAATTATGTATATAACACTAGACCAATGGGTGAGATTTATCTACAGATTACATATACTACTCTGCTAATGACTCTCATGTTAAGTGTTCAATGTGACTGCTGCCTGCTCAAGTTTTATATATATATAATTGCATTGTTTTGTTTACTTTATGAACATCATTTAGATTACAAATATGACAATAAGCTATAGGTCTAATGCAGCCTAAATTAAAGACTAATTAATTATGAGGCAGTTCTGTTTACATATATAGTACTGTGGCACATTAATCTGATTACTTAAGTTACAATTTAAAAAAGTACATTATATGTTTTTCAGCTACAATTACAAATGCGAAATTTATAATTACTTGACTACTTCAAAAAGAATTATCTCAATATTTACATGATAATAATATTTCAATAATTTATTGGTTTTTGTTGTTGTTGTTTTTTTGCATTTAAAATATACCGATCGTTAGACCTGGAGAAAAAAAAAATATCTGCTACCATATTATTAATTATACTTAGCTAAGATTTTAGGACTAAACCTAAAACAAGCCTAATTACTGTGCATCTTAAGTTATCTTATACGTTAATAACTAACAATAGTAACAGGCCTAGACTACCTACAGTACAAATTACAATACCTAAATAATTACAGTTTACCAAAAATGATATATCAACAACTGACAGCTTGGTTTCTAAAGTTCGTTACTATTAGTATTACTAAGTTAGAATACCTAGGCTTGAACTGCTAAATTAGTCCTACGATAAGCTTACTTAGCTTGAAACTTTTATTTTTTAAACATATTATAAATATAAGTTTAAGTTAACAAAATATGCATACCAAATTTCCACCAAAAGAAAGAATATTAAATTCTTTATCTGATGGAATAAACTGTAATTCAAGTAGAAATATTCGACATTCGTAAACTCAAACACTATTCTAACAAAACTCAAAATGTAGGGACCTAAATTAAAATCTTGGCGGTTTTCTACTGTAGCGACCTCTATGGTTTTAAAACATGTATTTTATTTGAGATATTATACAGGCCAAAACAAAAAGAAAAGAAATATCACACTTAATACTTGACAAGTGTACAGACGTAAAAATTAAATCGTCCTGTCTCAAAATTCAATCTTTCGAAATTATTCAGGTTTTCAGTATTTTTTTTTATTGTGAGGTTTCTAATATCGTACATAAACACATTCTTGATATTGTTAACAAAATTTGTCCCCCGAACACACCTTTATAATTTTATCATTTCTCTAGTTGTTATTAATTGTATTTATTTATTTTATTCGAATGAACTTTAATGAAGATAATTACTCTAAATTTACCTCCACTAATATAAACTATTTCAGGTGTAATAAACGGAGTTTTACATACAACACTAAAATACTTAATATTAACATGAAGTTTAATTATTCTATTTTCCTTCATTGTTTTTTTTACATGGCGTATTGTTGTTTTTATTTTCTATTTTTTTTGCCGTTATTACATATTGCTCAACTACTGTGTGTTTTCTTCAGTTACTGCCACTGAAACATCCGATAGCACTTTGTACGTATACCTATATAACAGTGCATGATTATGTATACATATATATCATGAACTGTTTTAAATTTGTTTTGTTTGACTTTTGCGCAAAGCTACACGAGGGTTATCTGCGCTAGCCGTCCCTAATTTAGCAGTGTAAGACTAGAGGGAAGGCAGCTAGTCATCACCACCCACCGCCAACTCTTTTACCAACGAATAGTGGGACCGTCACATTATAGTGCCCCCACGGCTGAAAGGGCGAGCATGTCTGGTGGGACGGGGATTCGAACCCGCGACCCTCAGATTGTGAGTCGAGCGCCCTAACCACTGGTCGTGCCGGGTCAAAACTGTTTTGAAGGGAACTCGTTTTCACACGAGTGATGAGATAGCTGATAATTTTAATTTTATTATTTAGATCAGTACTGTAATTTAATTAGGTGGTTATAAATCTTTCAGTTAATATTCTGTTCACGCTCTTATCATCTGTGTATTTAACAATAATAATAAAACGTTAAGCAGCAAAATATGAAACTTGTATAGTTATATTATACTAGCAGCGCTCCTGGAATATAATTATTTTTTGAAATTATGATTCAAAATAAAGATTATATGATAATATGTCAACGACACATCCAATACCGACGAGGTCATTTCGTCTGTGCCAGAGCTCATCAGGCCAAAAGAGATAAAACTGACACAGTAATGATTGAGACGCTATTCATATCATAAAATTTGCAAATCAGATTTAAGGTAAGGATTAATTACTAATTCAAAGCGCCATCTATATAATTAGCTGTAACCACTTTACTTGACAGTTGTTTACCGTGAATGGATTGTGTTACGGTTTGGATCCTACCGTTTAATATTTCAAACGTGAAGGCAAGAATTTATTTTACCTCCGTGATTTCAACCAATAAAACTAGAAAGTAAAGATAACAGACTTAATTGATTGTATCTCATTCGAAAAAAGACAAAAAGTATAAGTGTAAGTTAAAAAATATCTTTTGTGGAATTTATATTTATTACATTTTAAAACAATGTACGCTTGTGGTATCCTCATGTAAACCTGATTTCTTCCAATAGTGAAAAACACAGGTCTGCAGAACAACATGGGACTCCACCGTGATATTTATCAAAGAATAATTCCGAGTCTGACTGGGTTTGCAAAAGAAAGACTGGACACAATGTAAAACACAGTTAAACGATCTTTATTCAAGAACACAAACCACTATATGTGTACTTTTAACTAGCATGTCGCCTTTACTGTAGAGATACACGTAAGTTTTCATATCTTTCTGGAAGTTGAAGTTAATAAGATAAGTATCTATATACCTATTTAATCCAGTCTGCATGTATTTTTGTCAAACATTATAACTTATTTTACTAAAAATACAAAACTACTTTATTACCATATTGAGTTTTTAACTTGTTTTCTTTAATTATTGGACTGAAACAGATTGATTAAGTATTGTATATATTTGTATGGTTTTCAAACGTAGTATCTGCTCATTAATAAAATATAGATAGGCCATATATACATAGAATCTATTAGATCTTTTCTTTATTAATTTAGGTGAGAACATTTGAGACAACCTACAGCTGGGCTTGTACGAAATATAGTGCCCCGACATACAAATATCTAAAACAAGCGATATTATCTGAAGTACCCATAATACTTCATTACAAACCCTTTCAAACATGGAAAAGGCAAATCTACCAAGTACTAATGGGTCTGTTTCTGTTTTGTACTCGATATTTTCAACGTCAACTCTATCGCACGACTTCTCATTTTACGATGCCGGGGCATATTGTACTTTTCTGAATCAACAAGTGGTTGTAAGATTAAACCAAATATCCATCATTACATCACACGTTGAAATTACACAAAAAGTTCAGTTCATCTTTTCAGAGTATTAGAACGATGATTATTTTAAAACAGTATCGCATTTCCTAAAATTCATTACCTGTAACGGACTAATGAATTGAAAATCTGCACACAAAAACATAAAATCTTGTATGAAGACAACATATAATTATAGTAAATCAAGAATCAGAAATGTACAAGTTCCATCTGATTGAAACAACTGTATTACGTGTTTAGTACAAAATATTCCACTAAAAACTACAATGTTTATACGATAATTTAACATTATTGAAACACATATTTAATGTGGGTGGGGTCTCTTTGGGTTGAATGGGTCAAAGAGCTTGGGATCTTTAAAAAATTTGACTTCCTTTGTAATAGTAGGCATGAAACCTGAAAAAAAAAAGTAACATGATATTACATTATTTACACAGAGAATAACATTGGTGCAATTTTTCTCAAATTATTATTGTAATTCCCATACTAAGCAAGAATTTAAAACATTAAATATTTCTAGCAGTTTTCACATTCAAATATCTATTGTTGCTATTTAAATAATCACCTCTCTTAACTGTCATTAAACTTCATATCATTTCAGTTTTATTACAAAAGTCCAAGAACGAAATCTGAGTACAATTTTCAAAATACTTGAAAATCCATTGTTTATTTGTTCTCTGTTTCAGTGGAATCAATCACACATGTACACTTGTAAAAAACATTTTTCTAAGCTATTTATTTTATAATTTTTTATGGTGGTTGCAAGATCGGTCAAACCTACCGAACCCGTACAGACATTAATTACTGAAAATAACAGATAAAATCAAAACATTTGATAACTATCTTGCCATTATAAAGATTTCGAATGTGAAATTTAAAAATTTTCTGATGTATAAACGTATTTTTAATCTTAAAATTAATATTACTTTGCATGTCGCTAATCCAACTTGCAAAAAAAAAAAAAAGGCATGAGAAGAACATTGCTTTATAAACCTTAAGACTTAATAAAAATATTTGATATTTGACGTGTTCATGAATTTATGGGTTAAACAGTCTGTAATAAAATAAATGTCATAAAAAAAACACAAAAATTAATATAATTATTAATTCCAATACCTCTGAAAGGATATCCTAAGTATCTTACATAGAATATCTAACATTTAACTTTTCAATATTCACCTATATATATATTTTAAATCACATGTATACACACAGAAAATGATTTAGTATATTATAAGACCTTTCAATATTTTTGTATACATTAGTCTTCTATAAAAATTGTAATAAAACTACCATGTAATGTACTATTATTCTGAAAAATAAGTTAACAAACGTGTAAATTGTTTGTTGTTCTAAGTAACAATTTACATTCAATCATGTTCAGTACAATTTGTTGTGGCAGTCACATCTAAAATTATTATCAACTTATTGTAAACTGGTGAAACTTCGTTCCCTTCGAAAGCTTTAGAAGTCGAATACTAAGGGTAAACTTATAATGGCTGGAGACGGCTTAAATGGGTAATGAAGAAAAACTTTAATATAAGTTTAACATGACAGCAAATGTACAACGTTTCGACAAGGTTTTGTCATGTTAAACTTATATTAAAGTTTTTCTTCATTACCCATTTAAGCCGTCTCCAGCCATTATTAGTCTCAAAGTGGGTTCCTCGTCATCGAATAAGGGTAAACTTATTAAATTATGTTACATGGCTTCCAAATAACTGCAACGAGAGGATATGAAAATTACAACAGCAACATCTCAAGTTTCAAGACTTGGAAAATATCACTTAAATCAAATTAAAGGTTCCGAGTAATGGATGTTTTCACGAGTAATAAAGTAGACAAATGACAAAACTTGGGAGCTTTATTCCATTAGAGCAGACTGCTGCATGCATGTATACTTTTCCTCGAATTCCAGCATTAAGCATAGCAGTACTGCTGCAGTTGTTGGGCCTAAAAGATTTAGAAGGAAGTCTAAAAGCAATATTTCATGAAGTCTCAAGAAAAATGTCGGTAATTACACATTTGTAAAGCAGATAACTTTGGAATGTGTCACGCAGTGTTTATTTTTTGTAAATGCTTGAAAATTTGTGATTATGTCACTACAAAACGTGCATATTTTTTGGAAGGTTAGTAGTAAACGTAAATTTTTACTAAAGCAAGTGATTTCAGAAAAAGAATGCACCTTATTATGACAATAAACAACAGATTTTTTGGTATAATATTGGTTTAGAGTGGGGATGGATATGGCCTAGTGGTCAGCCTGCCTGAACTGTAAATATGGGGATTCATGGTTTGTGTCCTGTTACAACAAAAATGATTTGTTTGTTATATTGTTAAATGCAAAACAACATAATGGGCTATATGTCCTGTTGCCACCACAGGTATCAAAACCTGCTTTTTAGCATTGTAAGCCTTCAGATTTACTGCTGAAACACTGTGGGTGCACTACAAAAATGATGGTCAAATCTCACTAATCGGTCAAAAAGAGTAGCCCAAGCGTTGGTGGTGGGTAGTACTGAATAATTGCCTTCCCTATCAGTTCAGGTTCCTTCACATAGCTTCATGTAAACTACTAAATAAACTTTACATTTTTAAAAATTAAAAAACTTACCAAAGTTCTGTGCTTTTAGTATTTCTTGTTTTACTTTTTTTTGCTGTGCGTCACAGAGACCTGTAATATGCTTGTCATAAATCCTTCCCGTATATGGTGAAACAAACTGGCTCAACAATCTGATGTTCTGTAAAATGAAACTTTATTAAATATAATATCTATGGGGTTTTGAGTTTGATTTACTTCACCGTATTGTAGCCTAAATTAATTTAAGTACATGAATAATGTTATGACATTTCATCAAATTCACTATTTCATCTAATCTTAACCTACATGATCAAAAGCTATTTTCACATATCAGAGGTATTATGGAGTGACGCAGCATTCAACAGTGACTGTAGCCTAAAAGAACTGGCACACTGCAGTCATCCAACACAACACGTTGGTCAATCTGAACAGTAAATTGTACCAGAACTACTACCACGAAGCTTGTGTTAGAATTTATTGTAATCTTTATTATGAAACTGCTGGGAAAGCTTCATCCCATTCAAAGGCTTTAGACGTTGAATTGTTCCTCAGCCAGGTCACTGAGGATAAACTTATTAACTTATGTTGTATGGCTTCCAAATAGCTGCAACACGAGGATATGAAAATTACAGTAGCAACATCTCAAGTTCAAGTGTTAGTTCTAAGACTTGAAAATACCATTTAAATCAAATTAAATCAGGTATTATCACTAGACGACCTTTGAGAAGATTACAGGAGGGAAAAAAAGCTGGTGGCATGACCAGTGTCAAACTTCTTAAGCATATAATAGCAGTAGAAATAATAATATTACTTACAAGGAGTGCTGAAGTGCTTAAAAAATAACAATACAGTGATAGGTTGTTACTGATTAGTTTCCTCCCTGAGGTTCAGAACCATGGACAGCACCCTGCTACCTAGATTGAACACTGACAAACGTGTTGTGATATGGAAAGAGGATGGCTCATGCTTTGACCAGTGCTAAACTTTTCTAGTGAGTAAATCAAATCAAAGCTTATTGCATTTTATAAAAAAAAATTCAAAATGAATGTTAACATTGCAAACTGAAACTGAAACCAAAAAGTTTCTGATGAAATAGAAAGAAATATTTTTATACACAAAACACCTTACCTTGTAGTCTACGTACAAAACACCTTTACAAAACACCTTACCTTGTAGTCTACGTGAATACCATATTTACAAAACACCTTACCTTGTAGTCTACGTACAAAACACCTTACCTTGTAGTCTACGTGAATACCATACTTACAAAACACCTTACCTTGTAGTCTACGTGAACACCTTACCTTGTAGTCTACGTGAACACCTTACCTTGTAGTCTACGTGAATTCCATATTTACATAACACCGTACCTTGTAGTCTACGTGAATTCCATATTTACA